GTATCTGCGCATATTGACCATTTTTCATACTTAATTGCTCTACCCCTTACTTATTTGATTATAATCTGTCCCGTCGGTAAGCCAAACTTTAGACTTTCTTATAAACGATTCTATCTTTTTATTTTATTTTAAGTTTTTGACCTACTAGTTTAAGAGCCTGCATTTTTCAAAAACGCATAATTTCTCTGCACCTATTTAGTCGAAGTGTAGGCTCCTTTGGATTGTGCTGCAAATCTTAGTTCGACTCTTCATTGATTACGCTATGCACATGGATACGATACGCTGAAATTCTGCTCATGTTAGCCTCGCAATCCTTAAAAGGTGTCAGTCGAATCGAATAGCTGTGAACTGTTTTGGGTAATGAGCTGTGCTTGTTGCTCAATGCAGAATAGTTGCTACTGTGAACTTTGGAATTTGACGCCCCTAGTCGCGAATTTCAATGCTCGATAAGAAAGTGACTTTTTCATAGTTGTTGTCTAACCAAATTATTCCTGAAGCTCAAACCTTGTGAGATATACGTTCTACCAAACAAATTAGCGGGAGTTATAGTGATGATTGGGTCAATATTTATACTAGCATATCATAGCTGCATATACACGCACATATATCTGCATATGCACCTATAAATTTATGTGTACATCTGCAGAGAATTTCAGGTCATGCGACTAGTACGTAGTGCAATGTGATGTGCCAAACCTTGATGTAGTATGTTTATAGTGCACAATTATACAGATTCTGATCGTGCCATTCGGTGTAATCGTACAGGGCTGTTTAGAGACACTCGGTTGTTTAGCTCAATGTCTAGCTTGTATATGATGCAACATGGGATGTGCATGTGTACGCTAGCGTATGATGATGATACCAATTCTCAATTCACGTGTTTGAATGTTTGGCTTCGATTTTCTCTCTACAGACCACGAAGTTTGTACCGCCGTACGGATCATCAAAATGTTTATACGCCTACACGTCACAGAATACCAGGGTAAGTTGGAGAAACTTGTATGTTCTAGAAAGACGGGCATTGTATGCCATTAACGTTTGCGTGCCAAATCACGCATGTGTGTGTGAGATGCACATGTGAGAGGAGATGTACAAGCCCACAATTGTTTGATGAACTTCACCTGGACTACATACAGTTGTCGATTATTTTTTAAAGGCAAAATTCTGCACGAATATTAAGCAAATACGTATTCGCATAAGGTACAAAGTAATCTTTTTAAATTTGTCGAAAATCTATGATCGTCTTCAGTTATTACTATCTAACCGCGAAAGATAGAGACTCTGTATTTCCAATATTGCATTCCCATAACACATCTAACGGGGCAGTCTATTAACGACTATATATTCGATGCTTTTAGCCCCTAATTGCTTCTGATTCGCTTTGATTCAACTTTCAATAGGCCGTTCTTCTCATGTTGACGAAATATATCCTCACGGACGATATAAATCGATTTCACGTCAAAATCGTGGATGAACAATATCGAGAGGGTGCGTGGTTTCTGTTTATAACGACTGAAGACTCATGTATGACAACTCTCGCGTTACATATTCATGTACACTTAGCTACACTTAGATACACTTATTTCTGCAGCCTCGTGAGTACTGATCGGAATGTTCAACATTCACTTCAATAAATTCTGTACGTGCATTCAAATACAAATGTGTATAAAACGTATATATATAAATATATTTATATACATATATATATATATATGTCTGTGTGTGTGTTTGGGTCAACATAGGTGTGTGTGTGTGTGCTTGTGTGCATGTGTTTGCAGATATATGCGTGTGCGTGTGTGTGCGTCAACTTGTATGTATATGGTGTGTGCGTGCGTATATATA